GTGTGGGCGGGCTCATGGGGGCCTGGGAATGTGGGCTTGCAGGAGGTCTGGGAGATGGCACCAGTGGGTGCATGTGCCAACTGGGGACTCACACCCAAGCAGGCAGAGCAAGCCTGGGAATTTACCAAAGTGCTTGCTATCAGGTAGGCTGGGAGAAGGGGAAGGAGAGCTTGAGGTTAGCATGCTGGGGTAGACCAGGCTTCGGGAACTCAGGTCTTGAGTCGGTGAAGGAGTTGGGTCCCAGGCCAATATATATGTCAGGAGCTTGGGACCCTAGTGGGTGGGCAGAGCTGCAGACTAGCACGCCACCCTACTGAAAGACTGGGCTGGGGAGCAGAAGGGCTCACAGGAACTGTGGATTGCTCAGGGAAGGGGATAAGGGATGTGTGTGTGTCGGGGGGTGGGGGGAGGACTACTGAGAGGATATGTTACAGGTGAGGAATGACTTCTGAGGGAGTTCCACCAACAAGGCCACTGTACTTGTAGGTAAGCGAGGGGGCTGAGATCTAGCAGTTTCGAGAGGGGAAGTTGGAGAACCTTTCTGGGTCAGACCAATACATCTCCCTACATGGGAGACCTGAGCTGGGCTAGCTAGCACCTATTACTGCCAACTAACACCCACTGACACACTTAAGCTTAGGTATTGGGGCCGATCTAGCAGGGCTAGATCACAGAACTTGCCAGTGAGTGTCAGAAAAGGGGATAGATAGGTAATGTTAGGCTGGGCCATGACACTGACCAGCACATGAAAGAACCAGGTTTGGGGGCAGATTCTGTGGGAGCTATATGAGCTCGCCCCGGTGGAACTTCAGTTTCCACTGGTTTGCTCAAGAGCTGACAGGTAGTGAAGAAGGGCTGAGCTAGTCATGACAACGGAACCCTCTGACACTCATGGGTACCGGGTTTGGGAACAGGCTAGGCTGGTCCAGCTTGCAGCACCCATAGATGCACCCAGGAATAGGGTGTGGGGTAGGACAGGCCACAACATCCACCTGTTCACCCTAGGGCTGAGTCAGAGGGAGCAAACTATGGCAGATAAGGGCCTAGCACTGGCTGTCACATCTGGGATCTGGATCTGGGAGTGGGCATGGTGGGGCAGCTTGGGAAACTCCTCTGGTAGGCTATAGCTCCTGCTGGCGAGCATATAATTCAGGCCTGGGTGTTGGTCAGGACAGGCAAGGCAGCTCTACTTGTCAGCAAGTATATGGTTGGTTCTGAGGGGATGGGAGGGGCAGTGGTCCAGGTAGGGCCAGGCCAAACCTTAAACACACTGGTATGTGCAGGAGCCAGGCTGGAGTGTGGGTCATGTTGTGCCAGGCTATCACACCTACCAGTTTGCACGAAAGCTGGTGATAGAGGCAGACTGGGCAGGGCTACACTGTAGCACCCAGCAGCAGGAGCTGAGCCTGGGTGCAGTTTGGGCCAGGTCAGACTGCTGTATCCACTGACAAAGGCCAAGATAGGGAATGAGATATGCCAAGCCAGGGTCAGAGCAACCACTGGCATGCATAAGATCTTTGGCTGGGAACAGGCCTGATCAGAGAGCTAAGGAGATGCCCCAGCTGAATTACAGTTTCCACTGGTGAGCGGGAGAACCGGAATGGGGGTAGCAAATTGAACTCGACATGACTGCAGTATCCCTCCATATGGGTGTGGACTGGGTCTAGGCTATGCCACTCAACTAGACTCCAGCACCCACTGGTGCTTGTGAGAGCCAGGATGGATGGAGGATATGTTGTGCTAGGTCTTGGCACCCAGTGAACCATGCGAGAACTGTGTCTAGGCATGGACTAGGTATGGCTGGGCTATAACACCTAACAGTAAGAATTGGAATGGTTTGGGGCTGGTCAGGCAAGACCACTGTTCATGCTAGAACAAGAGGTAGATTAAGTTAGATTGGGCCAAGGACCCACTGGTGTACACTAGATCTGCCACTGGCAGGTGACCTGAAACAGGAGATTGGGAAACTTCCTTTATCAGAGTGCAGTTCCTGCAGGTGAGTGCAAGAACCAAGGCTGGGAGCAGCCCAGACTGGGCCAGGTTACAGTACCCTTTGGCATATATGTGGCTCAAGTCTGGGGGTAGGCCAGGTTTGGCCAGTTCATAACACCCACTGGCAGATCTGAGAACAAGGATGGAGTGCAGGACAAGACGTGTTGGGCTGCAAGAGCAGCCAGTTCATGTTATGGCCAGGATATGGGGCCATCCAGGCTGGCATAGGCTGTAGCATCCAACAGTGTGAGCTGTAATTCGGGGCAAATTGAACCAGGCCAGGTTACAATGCTCACCAGCAAATGCCAAGGTGAGGTGGTCCATGCCAGACTGGCCCATGGCTCCCACCAGCACATATAAGACCCAGGATTGGGGGACAATTTATTACGGGGGCAGTGAATAATCCTCTGCTGGGTTAGGAGGCAAGCCAGGCTGGCCAGGCTTTGCTGCAGCATTAGCTGGCAAGTGGTGGGAATGAGAGCAAGTCCTGTCAAGCTAGACTGTGGAACCAACTGGAAAGTGCAAGATCCCAGACTGGGACTGGACCTTGTAGGAAAATTGTGGGCACCTCTCTGATGGGCTACAGCTCCCATCAGTGAGCATGAGAACCAGGGCTAGGGGTGGACTTGGCTGGGCAGGCGGTAGTATCCACTAGCATAAGTGTGGGCTTGATAGTGGGATCGGTTAGACTGAGCTAAGCTGCAAAACTGGACAACTCCCCTAGCCGAGTACTGACAACAAATGTCTATGCAAATGGAGACTCTAGTGTGGATTATGTCAGCCAATGGACCTTGGAAGGACTTCCTTACTCATGGAGCAATACAATCAGCAGCATGATGAAAACCACCTGAGTAGAACCCTTGGGGCATGCTTCACATCGGAGACCCTGATGACATCAGTGGCTGTTCCCCATCCTCGGGTACTGATGGGGTTATGATGCTGGGTGTGGTTTTTCCCCTTCTCTCTCTTCTTCCCACAGATACTTGGAAACAATGGTCTCATGCACTTCCCCTCATCTCCGACCCTTCCCACCCCAATCCGTTCACATGGGTGTGCATCCTTCTCAGCAATGCAAACATCATAAGAAATAAAATACAAAACCATAGTATAGATAAAGTTAGATACTATATATGGTTTCAGACAGTCACTGGTTCAGAGTTGGGTGTGGGGTCTAGGGACACATCACTCGTGGCTAAGAGGGCAGCTACTACATATTCAGGAAAAGGCTACTGAGATGCTCTCTATCCTGACTATAAAGCTGTGTGGGGCTGAATTTTCCTGATGTATTTCAAACATAATAATACATCACAAACAGCTGAATCTTTAAAACTATAAAAGGTTTCTGACATAAAAAATAAAAGTCCACCTTTGTAAAAAGTTGCATGAGAAGTATAAATGGTGGGCCCTGGAGCAATAGCCTAGTGGCTAAATCCTCGTCTTGCATGACCAGGATCCTATAGGGGCACTGGTTCATGTCCCCAGTCGTGTCCAAGTGTTACACTTCCTATCCAGCTCTCTGTTTGTGGCCTGGCAAGCAGTAGAGACTGGCTCAAGGCCTTGGGACCCTACACCTGAGTAGGAGGCCCAGAAGAAGCTCTTGCCTCCTGGTTCCTGGCTTCAGATCGGCTGAACTCCAGTCGTTGTGGCCACTTGGGGTGTGAACCAGCAGATGGAAGATCTTTCTCCCTGTATCTCCTCCTCTCTGTACATCTGTCTTTCCAATAAAAACAAATCTTTTTTAAAAAAAGTGAGATGGGGCCAGTGCCATGGTGTACTAAGCTAAGCTTCTGACCGAGGCCCAGACATCCCATATAGGTGCTGGCTTGAGTCCTGGTTGCTCCACTTCTGTTCCAGCTCCCTGCTGGCAGCCTGGGAAAGCAGTGGACGATGGCTCAAGGTTGTGGACCCCAGGACCCACGTGAGAGAAAAAGAAGCTCCTGGATCCTGGCTTCGGATTGACCCAATTTCAGACATTGCAGCCATTTGGGGAGTGAACCAATGAATGGAAGATCTCTTCGTTTCTTTTTTTTCCAAAATGCTTGTAGTATAAGATATATTTTCATATAAATTGAAAGAATGTATTAATTTTTAAAGGCTTATTTATTTTTATTTGAAAAGCAGATTTTACAGAGAGAAAAGGGGAGACAGAGAGGTTCTCCATCTGTTGCTTCCGTCCTCAAATGGTTGTGAAGGTCAGAACTGAGCTGATCTGAAGCTGGGAGTCAAGAGCTTCTTCTGGGTCCCCCACATGGGTGCAGGGTCCCAAGGCTTTGGGCCATCCTCGACTGTTTTTCAGGCAAAAAGCAGGGAGCTGGATGGAAAACAGGGGTGCCAGGATCAGAACTGACACCCATATGGGATCCTAGCATGTGCAAGGTGAGGACCCCAGACAGTAGGCCACTGCACTGAGCTCTCCCTTGTTTTACTCTTCTCTCATAAGAGCAAGCACTTCATGTTGCAAGCCGCATCTGTATGCACTGGCCACATGCTGTGCCTAAAATGGCGCCGGCCGGAGAAGCCACACCTTCGTGCATGTCACGTAGCCTAGCGCATGCGCAGTGAGCTGTGGCGTGGCCAGCACGTGAACACTGGGGACTGACGAATCCGGTCGCCCAGGACCCTGCGTGATCATGACGCCGACCTATCATTGGCGGAGGCGGGGCCGGTCAGCACATAAGAGTAGAAAGCTTGCCGGGGTTGGGGCCCCCCCTTCCTCTTCCTCATCTTTGTGCGCGCAATAAACTTTACCGCAGAAGGCTTCGCTCGCGTCTGCCTCTTACTGCTGGGCGGTAAGACACGTGGGCGCGACAACTTCAGATTTCCTTCCAGACCTTTTCCTATAAAAATTCACATATATCTAAATGCTATTCAATAAGCAAATACAAATAATGATGTCCTATAGGCTTACTGTATTTTATACACATGTATTCATATACATATTTGCATGTTTTCAAGCTTCTTAGCATGAAGGATTCCGTGATAAGAAACTTCACTGCATGTCAACTTACCAACACAGTCACAGCACTCGTCCCAGAGGGCCCCGAGGCACAGCATACACTCCTTACAGCAGGAACAGTTTCCCTCCCCAGGCCGGCACTGGCAGAGCTCCTGGAGACGACACAGTCAGGTGTGAAATCCCAAGTGTTTATACTTGCTGATTTTTAACCAAAACAATCTTGAATTTATAGTTACTTAAGATACTTTTTAAGCTTTTATTTATTATTTAAGGGAACAGAGAGAGGGGGAGAGAGAGAGAAACACCCAGGAAAGAGCTCCTACTATTCACTCCCCAAATAACACAATGGCCAGGCTAGCTGGTGCTCAACCCAGGAGCCAAGTGCCGGAACTCAACCTCGGTCTGCTCCAAGGAAGCCAGGAACCCAACCCATCCCTGCTCCCTCCCTAAGCCTGCACTGCCAGCAAGCTACATTCAGGAACCGGAGCCAGGAGCCAGGAATGAAACACAGGTACCTCAATATAGGATGCAGCTTATTAACCAGAGGGCCAAAGGCTTGCCCCATGCTGCAACTTCATTATTTATTCAATACCATTAACTTTTTCTAAGAACAAATGTTTACAACATTAAGTAGATTATTTCTCTTTTGACATATTTAAGAAACAAAGAAAACATTTTATTTTTAAGCCATAATTGCATCTTCATATCAACTCAACAAAATAGTTCAGTACAATAACAAATCCTACTTTCCACCAACTGTCCAAATACACACACACCAACAGTCAACTTGTGGTAGGGGCTGTGGCTTCCTGACATGTGAAGTCCCCTTTTCCGCAGCTGTAGGCAGCTGCTTAGGTTGCCTTACACCTAGCCAAGTGTTAGTTACACTGCCAAGAGAAAAGCAGTCAATAGATGGACATTCTGTGCCTCGTTAATGTCAACTCTGTTGTGCCAGCATAGTTGTCTATTCAATTTTTTTTTTAAAGATCTTGGAGGAAGGGGGTGTAGCACCCACTGCTCCACCACGGGCACACAGCAACTGGAGCCACCCCACAGCCATCACCAGCACCATACATGCGAGGGCAGGAGGGTGTGTATTGCTAGGGGCCAGGGAGACTAGGGATGGGTCGTTATGGGGACTAGTGAGAGCCTGTCTAACATATATGAAATGCTTTCTGGGGTTCTCCACAGATTGGAACACATCATACATGGGTACCCAAGAGAGCAGAAGGGAGAATCTAGAGAGCCTAAGTCAGGCCACAGCATCTACCTGCACACACAACAGCTGGCTGGGGCAGACCAGGCCAGGTTGGGTTGTAGCACCTGCCAGAACTCAAAAGAATCAGAGCTGGGGGTGGACCTTGTAGGGAATCTTTGGTGACACCTCTGTTAGGATACAGCATCCACCAGAACTCATCAGAGCTGAGCCTGGGAATGGCCAGATTGAGCTAGGCCACAGAACCCACTGGAGTGTGCAAGAACTGGGGCTGGGAGTGGGCTGGGCTGAGATGGGCTGGGCCAGGCTACAACATCAGCCAGTTCCTGTGTTGATGGAGTGTGTCTCCACCCCTAGGCACTGATGTAGTGTGACAGCAAGGAGTAGCACACTTTCTTCCACACTGCCCTCACCTGGACACAGGAGGGAAAACTGAAACATTTATCTCATCCACTACTTCCAGATCCTCCAAATTTAGGCAATCTTGAGATTCACTCTGATCAACAGAATCTGGCAGTAGTGATATCATTCTGAGTCTAGGTCTCAGAAACCCTTGAGTGTGTCCACTTTTTCTCTAGAACTTTGTCCAGTGCTGTGTGAAGTCCAGTCTGAGCCCACCTAACAAGTCAGTCCCTCTGAAGGCATCTCAGATCAGCCAGCTTCCAACCAACCACACATGAGAGCGAGGCCAGCACTCAGCTAACCTAGGCTCAAAATGACAACCTACAGAGACAACAGCGAAGTAAGTGGGAATTACTGTAAACCACTAAGTCTGGGGAGAAAGGTTTTACAGAAAAAAAAGCTAACTAGTATTGCTCGTTTGTGAATAAAGTGCCAGGACAACTCCTTCAGCACTTGCCCACTACCCTTGCCCCAGACTGCCTCTCAGCAAACCTACACAGATACCCTGTAACCATCAATGCTTGCTGGGTTTACCTTCTTTAACAGATAGTGTAGGGAGAAGTCAGGGTAGTGGAATACGGTAACGACATGCTTAAACAGATATAGAAATATTAGCCAGTGTGAAGTAGAGAGGGTGCATTCTAGGAAACAGGAGAGGACAGAACAACAACAAATGGGCACCTGGAGACTGACAGACACAGGAAAGCAGCGGAAACAATGGTGTGGTGTTGCAGTGACCGATAACCCAGCATCATTCAGCCAGCCACGATCTGAACTGCACCAGCAGCTGGAACTACACCAGCAATAAGGTGGAATGGGTGTTCACCAGGAGCTCAGGAAGTAAATCCAGACAAAGAACTGCCCGCTCTGCTAATGTTTTGATTTGACCAGGAGCAGAGACAGCATGTTCCAGATGGGCAGTGTGGGACAGGGTGGACTTCACAACCCAGTCCAACCCTTACAGTCAAATCAGGTGCCATTTTGTTTAAGGAGGCAAAGGCTAGGGACAGTACTGTGCATGCACTGAGCTGGGAATGAACTCATTTCTGGCTCAGTGACCTGCAACAACGTGGCATCCTACAAGTTCCACCCAAGATAGGTCTGGGTAGCCCTCAAACCTGACAGCCAGCAGATCAAGAACTCTAGTAGTGGCACATCAGATGCCATTTTGGAAAGTGTGGCAAAGGCTTTAAGACTATAGGGACAACAGTGAGCTTGTACATGTGCTGAGCTGGGAGAGAACTCACTGAGCTCAGTGCATTGCACTGGTCCCACAGGAAAATAATACGGACTTCAACATTGTAGAGGTTAAAGTAGGTTCAGACCTAACAGCCAACAGGTTCCAGAAAGATTAGTACCACTAACAACCTAGTCATGTAAGATACCTGGTGATTCTCTAATCCTGGGACCTGCTCCAACTGGAGGTGGGAAAAAGGTTGTACAGACAACAGTGCAGCCTGACCACGGTATCACATGCGGTGGAGAGCGGTAAGCCAGGAGCTGGGGCTATGGAGACCATGGTGAAATCTAACAGAAGAACCCAGACCTGGAACTTGCTGGAGGGAATGACACAAGTGACTGCAAACAAAGAGCTGTGTGCCAACTGAAATAAGTAAAATCGAACTGTAGACTTATGAGAGACAGAGCTTAGAAGCCTGCCCCTAGGAGAAGAATCTGATAACCAGAAGTACAATGACCATAGAAAAGTCAGTCTGCATTCTCATAAAGCTTTGCTTCTTGGCTCCAGTCCTCTGAAAGACATGGCTATTTCATTATTAAATGGAGTAGGCTTTAGTCACTTCCATAAAAAAAAAAAGCTCCGTTTAAAAATCCCAAGATATATGGTCTAACCTGGGAGTGCATGTTATTGGGACTGGGCTTCCTTAGTTAATGCCTGCCCAGATGCACCTGCTGGATAGGACAGCCAGATCATCCAGGCCAGCAGAGGATGTCGAGTGCCTCCTCTGAGGATGAAAAGCAGAACTGGTTGGACCACTCTCCTAGTCAATCTGTGCAACACGTTCCTGGTCTGTGGACTTAGCACCTTAGTCCTTAGAGGACTTGGACAGCCACTAGACCTTGGAAAGCTTCAATCTTGGAGGAACAAAACCAACAACTTCTCAGGGCCTGGCACAGTAGCCTAGCAGATAAAGTCCTCGCCTTGAATGCACTGGGATCCCATATGGGCACTGGTTCTGATCCCAGCAGCCCCGCATCCCATCCAGCTCCCTGCTTGTGGCTTGGGAAAGCAGAAAGAGGATGGCCCAAAACCTTGGGACCCTACACCCGCATAGGAGACCCGGAAGAGCTCCTGGCTCCTTTCTTTGGATCAGCGTAGCTCGGGCCATTGTAGTCACTTGGGGAGTAAATTACTGGATAGAAGATCTTCCTCTTAGTCGTTCCTCCTCTCTACATATCTGACTTTAAATAAAAATAAGTCTTTTTTTTAAAAAAATAAATAAATCCTTTTTTTTAAAGATTTATTTTATTTTTGTTGGAAAAGCGGATAAACAGAGAGGAGAGACTGAGAAAAAGATCTTCTGTCTGATGGTTCACTCCACTCCCCAGGCGGCCGCAACAGCTGGAGCTGAGCCAATCCAGAGCCAGGAGCCTCTTCCGGGTCTCCCATGCAGGTGCAGGGTCCCAAAGCTTTGGGCCGTCCTCGGCTGCTTTCCTGGGCCACAGGCTGGATGGGAGGCGGGGCTGCCGGGATTAGAACCGGCGCCCATCTGGGATCCCGGGCGTGCAAGGCAAGGACCTTAACCACTACACCATTGCGCCGGGCCCAAAATAAATAAATTTTTTTTTAAAAAAACTATAAAAACCAATCAAGCAGTACCTTTGGAAACACTTCTCCACACTGGAGGCTAAGGTGTCATCAGATGACTGTTCCCCCATCCCCAGGTGATGGTGGCAAGGACTGGTGCTCTCTCTCCCTGTCCAGCAGACACAGAAGGGAAACATTTGTCCCACTAACCTTCCTTCTTACCTTGACCCTCCCCACCCTAACCAGAGGCCCACATGGATGTGCATCCTTCTTAATTATGTAAGCAACAGTAAAATTTTTTTAAAATAAATAAATAAAATGAAAGAATATCTTTAATTCCGAATACCTTTTATTCCCTGTCTGCTCATTTTTGATCAGACACTCCCAATGATCTCTTCCATTGTTCCCTATGACATGACATAAATTTTATATTTAAAAGTAATCAATTTTGGGCCTAGCACAGTAGCCTGGTGGTTAAAGTCCTCGTCTTGCATGCACTGGGCACCAGTCAGGGCTGGCCCAGGCTAAAGTCAGAAGCCAGAAGGCAGGAACTTAACTCATGTCTCCCACTCGGGTGATAGGACCCATTAGCCCGAGGCGACACCCGCTGCTCCCAGAGTGCACATGAGCAGAGAGCTGGGATGGGAAGCAGAGCTGAGACTCGGATCCAGGCCCGCAGGTGTGCAACGTGACGATTTCAAGCAGCATTGTAACTTCGAGGCCAGACACCTGCCTGTGGCGTTAAATGTGGTCATCTTTCAGCTAGC